GGGATCTCTTTTGATCAGACACACTTCCAGCTTTGCTCGTGGACACGGAAAATGGAAAATGAAAATATGCTAGGCTGTCTTTTTAACATTTTAATGATGTGAACTGAGTAATAATTCATCAGATATCTGCTACACTCTCTCCAAATGTTGCACTTTGCTGCGTCCAAAACAATAATTAAGCCCCAACCAACCACGCTCTGTCTCTCACGATGCGTGCACCCTGTTGCAAAATGAGCGTTTTCAATAATTTGCTAACTCATCTTTACTCGCACGAGAACTGAACCGAAAACGCTTGCTTCACGCAAGTGTGCATGCACTGTCATGTAATGCACTTGTTTATGCCGAATCATTATAAAAACAATGCCAGAACGGGATCCGGTTCACATTAAGCACTGCTCTGCGCACCCTGCTCACACAGATATCACACGTCATCAGCGTGTTTCATAAGGCTATGCAGAGTTGTAGACAGACAGTCATCAAGAACTGCAAACAAACAGCAGTTGCCTTTTACAGTTCCTCCCGAACAAAATCCACAAACTTATGTTGCTTTTACACCATGTCATAACCATAATTAGGAGATGGCGGTAACACTTTACAATACAGGTGCACTAATATGCTTCTAATGCACAGATAATCATGAGTTAATGTATAACTCAAGAAGAACTAAACCATTAATTAGGCTAATGATTACTGCATCAGCAACTAAAGAGTCTATATATGATTAATAGATTTAGTAATACATGAATTGCTATTAATTCAATGTGTCATTGTGGATTAATTCCTTAATAACATATTTTATTAACTAATAGTTTAAATTAATGTGTTAATTAGCACAATCAGTCAAAGCAATGCACTTCACTTCTAGTTGTCTGCTTTAATTAATCATTAGCTAATGATTTGCAAAGGTATCATTATGTTATGACTTTACTCGGTGGGGCACATCATTATTAACTAGTCATTTAGTAATTGTAATAATTTGCACATGAATTTGCACTAACAATTAAGTAATTAATCATGTATTAATGCATATTAGTGTACCTGTCATATTATCTGGAAGTTTAAATACAAGGCTTTAGCTCATTCTGGTAATTAACATATTAATTAACACTATTAGTTAAAGAAAATCAGTTATTATGGTATTGATCCACAATTACATATTTAATTAATGACCATTCAATGTTTTGTGCTTTGAGACATGAGGATTTAAAGCCATCTCTCATGATGCTTTGCAGAATCTGCTGTGTTGAAGGAGGCATGGCTTTAGAGAGAGCACTCTGTAGGGAGGCTAAGGTCTTATGTTGAGGAGTTACAAGGTTTTAAGGGAGAAAGACAAAAGCCAGGGACCATGGACAAAGATGTGCAAACTCTAAAAACTTTTATGGAAATATTAATATTAATTGAGTGCTGATGGAATAGTGGTTTAAGATCCTTTTAGACAAACCACGTCATATGTGTTTATTATTATTTATTTATTATTTATCAATTATTATTATTATTATTATTATTATATGTACGGGAAAAGACGATCTATCACCACAAAGAAAATATTCAAAATTTGCTTTTAGAGGTCATCAAACAGATAACTTTAGATTATTCTTTTTTACACTGACTCATGTGCTCATTCTCTAGGAAAGCATAATAACGTTCTCCATTAAAGTAAATACCCATCATTCTCTAATCTTTCATTTGAATGACTTTTAATTACTGCTTATTGACTTTGGTCACAGAAGCATTGAGAATGGAATACAGCACTTAGTCAGCCGCACCATCCTTCCAAACACAGACAGCTCAATCAAGAAAAGCTGTAGTTCAAGAGGCTTTATGTTTCATTAACTGCAGATTAAACATCAGTCGTACTAGTGGACTGAGCATGAAGTTACGCTGAGAAGGTTAAAAACAACACAATACTGAGAAGGTGATGGAGGGTCATCGATCGGCGTTGGATTCAATACCTGCTCGGGAAATCTATTAAAGTGATGTTCATGGAACATTTGAAGTCATCCCCATTTGGAAAACCCCATAAGAGTTAAAAAAAAGGTAACTGGAACTTACTCGCCTGTCCCGTCTATCACTTGCAAGTTGCAACATTACTCTTACTGTAAATTAGATTTTATCTCACTATTGTGACTATTTCTTGTAATTCACCTTTGGATAAGCCCCGCCCCCCTTAGTTACTGTTGCTACATCCTCAAACTTCATCTGCGCTCTGCATGGCTTATGCTGTGACGGCTCTTCCTGCTGAAATGTTATCAAACTTTTATAAAGCAGCAAATAAAGTGTCCGATAGAAGTAGGCAAAAGGGGCTGCAATATGCGTTCGAAGGCTATATTCAAGACATACAGGTGAAACGCTAGAAACAACAAGGCATCCAAATAGAGGCAAAAGCATAACGTTACCGGTCACAGTCAAAAAATGAACCACCGCATTTCCTACTAATCGAGACGGAGGCTGGGACTAACAATATCAGGGAGCAACACTGTTCATGCAAAGCTGGGTAGGTCTCACTTCTATAATCGTTATTACAAAGCAAACGGACGAGTACTGTATAACGTTGTACTGTACACGAGTACTGTATAACGTTGTATTTATTAGCAGCGTGCGTGCTAGCGTATCAACAACCGGTATGAGAACCGAACTCATAACCTAAAACATTATAAAACGGTCTAACTAGTATAACTTCACACTTACAGTAAGGTTAGAAGTAAAAAAAAGATGTGCTTGTTGATCTTTGCGGGGTTTAGCTGACTGAGGACGTCCATACAGTTTAATCCAAACACGACACTTGTCAGGATTTGACTTCGGTTTTGGGAAGGGAAAAAACGGACACCCCCCTCCAACCTCTCTGGGAAACGTTCGCGTATCTGTGTTGCAAATGCCTGAGGCACAACGTTTAACCATATTTTGGATAAAACTTCGACGGTAATAGCCTGCCGAGACCAAAAATATGAGACGCCTGTGTTGAAAGTCAATGGAGCGCTGTGAAAAACTGTCGGACCTCTGTGGGTGCTGGTTCTTGGCTGGGCTGTGATTGGTCAATCTACATTCTAGGGCGTGGCTACATTCTAACGTGTGGTTACACACTATACAAACAAGGTTTAAATTATATACACAGACATCCTACGACGACAACAAGTTTAGACACATTTGCTGTTGAATTGGCTGACATCGACTGAAAAGACTATTTGCTCAAAAATCATAAAATACGCTTACTGTTACTGGAGGTGTCGGTGGATCGCAAACAGTAGACGAGGATTAACTTTTAAGCCACAACAACAGGATTAACCCACGACAGAACATTTGTTTCCTAGAGATATTACCGGCTGTCGTTGAAACAAGGGTCTATGCCACAACCACACTGTCAATCAAACCCCTTGCTCAATTCTGGATTCTGGATTTATATCATTCTAGGGTGGTTTTGCTCATACACTGCCAACACACATTTATGTTCAAACACCATGTAAAAGTGAATTTTCCATAATAGGTGTCCTTTAATTTCTCATAACTTTGTCACAATTTCAAATATTTCTCAGAATTGCAACTTTATTTTATAAGAGTTTTGACTTCATATCTTAATGCAATATGACGTCCATATTGCAAGTGCCGTTTAAAAAAAAAAATGTACTTCACTACCAGAACTAAAAAGAAGTCTGAACAAAGTGCTCTTTGAACACAACCTACCGTAATGAACGTTTGTTCAGACTGAATGTGAAATATTTGATCTGAGGTAGAGATTGGTGATCACTCATTTATTGTGCATTCACCTAATGGACACACACTTCCTTTGTAGCTACAGCTCAGCTAGCAATGATACCAAAAATGACAAGACACCGAAAGTGCAAACCTCACAGAAAACCACAATGCTCTGTTCTCATACATACTTTGATGCTGTTGCTGGTGCATGCATGGCTTTCAATAACATTGCGTCTGTTGTAGCTTATGTAGACATCAGACGTCAATAAGCACAAGGCACACCACATGATGGAAACAAATCCAGAAATATCTGGTTGAATGACATTTCAAAAGCTGTGCATTCTGTGGATCCTTGTCAAAAATAAAAATAAATAAATAAAAAACCTTGCAGAACTACCCATATGCAATAATAAAAAAAATGAATAGAAAATGCAATGGCAAAAAAAAACAAAAAAAAAAAACGAAAAAGTGGTCTGAATGTAAAAAAAAATCTTCTGATCACACTTGATTTGTTAATTTGACTTTTTTGCACAACAAGTGAATAAATCTCATTGTCAGTGATTAAAGTTTTAGTAAAGTAACAGATAAAATAGATAGCACATAGCCTGTAGCTATTTTGTCAACTCCCAACTTTTATGTAAAGGCTATGTTATGCATAAATTAAACAGTACCGCGCTAACATTGAAGGCAGCATGTAAATCTGGATAATTTAAAGATATCTTGTGCACTTTCCATGTGCTGTTTTATTTCTTCCTCAAGGATGGATTACGGTCAGGGAAGGTGGATGATGGACTGGGGCTTTGGAGCGGCTGTCATCACAACACTATCATAAGTGTCTGTATTACATTTTCAGTGCTTTAATTATGATCATTTGATTTTTTTTATTTTTTTATTTTTTTGGGAGGAAAATGCTGGTCCCTTTAGAAACTGGGTTTTGAATGGTCTTAACAAAATGTGCTATCCATTTTAACACATGTATTATAATGTCACACGTCATAATAGATATGTTTTGCTGTCAGGATGTGCTACCTTCGTAATTCTCTTGAATGCAGCTTAAGGAGCAAACATCCTTTTTCAAAAAAAAAAAAAAAAAAAAAAAAACAGAACAGCTTACATGTAGATTTGCATGTCTGATTTTGAGAAGAAAGAAACAAAAAAACGAAGAAAGGGCAATGAGTGTAAATTGTGTAGATAAATATTAGCCCAGTAGGTATTTAATGGGGAGACATATACGTGTCAACTTGCAGTGACAGGAGGGTGCGAGACTGCCGTAAACTCGGGGGCGGAGTTGGCAGAAAGCTCTCGGGAAGAACTTGTGAGTCAGTTTAGTTGAGAGTCAAGGCAACTGTGGACTACACACCTCTCACGAGCAAAAACACAGGACTGAATTTGTGGAAGATCGCATGTGTACCGGACTCGCATGTGTACCAAAATGTATCCTAATCCGAGACGCGCTTTGGATATTTTGGAGACGCGTAACAGCGCATGAAACACACACGTGGAAAGTATGATCGTGGGATCTTTGACATAGATTGGGGAAGTCAGCATTTGATGCCATGCGTCTTGAGCGCGTGTAAAGTGACCGATCTGATTTGAACATCGACCATCGTGAGCAACAACTCGGTGAAGATGAACATGGACCCTACCATCCCGGTCATTATGTTTATATTTGGCGTGGTCGGGAACATTATTGCTATCGTGGTGCTTCAAAAGTCACGGAAAGAGCAAAAGGAGACCACTTTTTACACCTTGGTGTGCGGACTTGCCGTAACTGACCTCTTGGGCACGCTGCTCGCCAGTCCAGTCACCATTGCCACCTATGTAAAGGGCGCGTGGCCCGGTGGGTATCCGCTGTGTCAGTATTCCGGGTTCATTTTACTCTTCTTCTCATTGGCAGGTCTCAGTATTATCTGTGCCATGTCCGTCGAGAGGTACCTCGCCATCAATCATGCCTATTTCTATAACCACTACGTGGACCAGCGGGTGGCAGGCTTGACGCTCGCGGGAATCTATGTGTCCGATGCACTCTTCTGTGCTCTTCCCAGCATGGGACTGGGATCCGTGGCACTCCAGAAGCCAGGAACCTGGTGCTTCATCGACTGGCATAAAAACGACAGCTCGAACGCCACTTTCTCCTACATGTACGCCGGCTTCAGCTCCGTCCTCATCCTCGCCACCGTCATTTGTAACGTGTTGGTGTGCGCGGCTCTCATCATGATGCACAAGCGCTTCGTGCGCAGGACCTCGCTGGGGACAGACCAGGCGCGCGTCGCGGAGATGAGGCGCAGGCGGAGTTTCGCGCGTCTGGCTGGTGCGGAGATCCAGATGGTCATTGTTCTCATAGCCACGTCCGTTGTCGTGCTCATCTGCTCCATTCCTTTAGTGGTAAGTGGGATTTGATGGCTTTTGGGAAATGACAACGAACTTAAGAGCGTGTTGCAAAATATGTGGGATATCCGACTGAAAACAACAACAACTTAGTTAAAATGGATTGATGGTCTTAGGAAAATGTAATAGTTTGGTTTCAGTTAAAAGTCCACGAATTAACAAAATTGTGTAAAATCGTATCATATATTTTATAATACTAGCATACGTTAAAATTGGAGTGTAAATGACAAGCATTAAATCTACTGAAAAATGTATATTAGATTTAGCAAGACACTATATAGAATATAGCTATACAATATATAGATTTTTATTTAACAAATTAAAAATATGGAAAGAATAATATGAATATGAATCTTATCCCACCTTATAAATGGGATAGGCCTACTCATTTCCTCTGTAAACTAACCATAATTTCTTAAATGTATTTTAAAAGCATCTCTTTTTTTTTTTTTGATTTAGTGAATTTTTCTTATTATTGGCCTTGCATTGTACCACATGCATTATTGTCAGTGCATTGTACAGAAACGTTTCTGCATATAAACATTAAATAAATGAATGACATAAACAGTTAGGATCTATAAAATATAGGCTACTATCAGACAAATGCTATCCCATAATGCATGTTTTTTAATGACCATATCCTTTAGTGTGTTTGGGTCAAATTTTGACAAACCCAACCGTAATTTAAAAATCTTAACCGATCGAAAAGCCCTTAAAGGTTGTCACAACACTCTAAACAACTTAGTGCACAAGCAATCTGTTGATTGTTATCTCTTGACGTTCACTGCATATGATTTGTATGTCTATGATCTGTACCCAGCATTATTATGTTATGCTGACTCATAGTGGAAAGACACAACCAGTATCTCATGATTGTGTTTGGTGTCGGAAATCAATGTAGTATGACTAAAGATAAAGAAGTAAAAAGATAATGTCTCGTTTCCTGTCTAGGTGCAGGTGTTTGTGAACCAGATGCCCACCACAGGAGACACAGCAGAAATGCGGAACCTTAAGGCCATCCGAATTGCCTCCATTAACCCCATTCTAGACCCCTGGATCTACATCCTGCTGAGAAAGACGGTTGTGCAGAAGATTCTAGAAAAGATCAAGTGTCTCTTTTGCCGTATCGGTGGACGGAGTCACGGGAGGAGCCCTACGGACTTCCAATGCAGTAATGGTGTCCACAGCTCATCGTTTGTCTCTCGTGATTTGCCGTCGCTGGTTCTGCCTGAGCAGCCGGAGATTATCAGCACGTCACAGACATATTTGTATCCCCTGGACGCGGGACAGGACTGCTGTGGTGACTCTGTGCAGAGCAGGACGTGTTCAACTTCGACCGAGCAAACCCTTCTCTCAGGTGACTCTCAGGTGGTAGACCTCAGCAGCGGAGAAAACAGAACAGAAACGAGCACAGACTTTGTGAAAACACATTCGTGCACGTACTCCACCCCAAATGAAGCGCACTGTTCCAAGCACCAGCCGCTGCAAGTCACCTTCACAGACGAGACTTTGAGCTTAGAAGAGAGAAGCATATAAAAAAATGCTGAAAGCGAGCCTGGAAAACTCACTCAGTTCAGCAGAGCAACATGTCAGGAGGGGGAATACATTTCAGGAGCCTGATTCGAGCGTTGCCAACAGACCGAATCGAAAGAAAAAAAAAAACCTCATGAGAGTAAAATGATAGTTGAGAGAAAAAACACTAATCAGAGTACTAAAGAAAAAAGTGAAAAGAGAAATGGTTACTGCAGCTGGAACTAGATTGTTGCTAGATTGTTGACAGAGAGGCTAACTTCGTTTTCTGGTAACTTTTTTTTTGAGCAACAGGTTATCCCGCATAATCTCTAGACGATGAGGAGAATGACAGAGATCGTATAAATGTGTCTATATTGTGAGTTCCTAATAAGCCTATTCGTTTTTGACTATAGATAAAATTGCATTTGGCCCCGGTTGACTGATTTGACCAAGGGAGAGGGGATTTTTTGCCGACACGTGATTAGATCAGATGGATGACCTAGTGGGTTGCACAAGCGATCAAATATCTGCTGCCCTGCTTCAAGTCCTCTTTTTCAGACATTCTTCATTAGGTCACAAGTTCAAGTAACCAGAGTGCCTTGTAAGCGTTTCTCATACTGGAACTCGTGGTTTAAAATGTTCTTTTTCTTATGTTAAGGTGACCAGAACACTTTATTTCCAGTGACTGATGCAGAAAAACAAACTTATATAAGATGTAGCTAGGCATAACTGTGCATTGTTTGGGAATTTCCATAATATGTACAATATTCTGTGAATTAAACAAGCAATGTCATTTGTTTAATGACAGTAATACCGACACAATATATAACGGTACCGAAAACACATTATACAATGTAAGAGCACATGATAAACAGCATATCATTGTCAAGAACGTTTAGGAGCTGAAATTGTAAAAGCTATTAAAGCAGGGATACTAGTCTACACAAAAATGTGTGGAAGAACGATTGGAACCAAACTTTCATTATATATAATTTTTTCTACTATGGAAGTGTTTGGTTCCAGTCGTTCTTCAAAATATCTTCCTTTGTGTTCAGCAGAAGAAAGAAACTCGTACAGGTTTGCAACAACTTGAGGGTGAGATCCCTTTAAAATGTTGAATGTCTTTTGAGGTCATACGTTTTGCACTTTTAAATCCTTGTAACCACTGAAATTGTCGAAATCGATCACTAAGGTCTTGATCAGTCAGTGGCCGTCAAGGAGGAACTGCTGAGTTCATCTGTACATATTTGTGCTGTTAAAATGTGAACAGCGTCTTATTTATTTCAGTTGTGTTGGACAATCTGTGGACTGTAGTTATTTCTTCTCTGTGAGAAGGTAAGGCTTGAAATAGTTCTACCCAAGTTGAAGCAGTTATATGTTTTTTGTTTCATTTCACTTGTTGTGTATAAAAACAGACTACGTAAGCACCATCTGCTGCATGTATATAAATGATTCAACATTACAACATTATTGTATGTTTTCACCATTTCATTTTCTCATTTTTTAACACATGAATTTCAAACCTTGACTTGCTTATTATCCTTAATGTGACCCTTCAGAATGTGCAATTGCCAGCTATATTTTATGCTAAAATAAACTGACAAATAGAAAATAGAAAACAAAAAACAAAATTTGTTGTTGCACTCTTCAATATTAATATAAGCATAGTAGCATTAAAATAATTGAACGATCCCAGTCCTTCAAGTATTACAAATGAATGTATATATATATAAATATATATCAGACTATCACAAGAGCGGGGTCATGATTATCAGAAACATTTTTAAACATTTTTGAAACCTTGATTTAAAAATAAAAAAATAAAAAGCAGCATCCTGCATTCAAACAAAAACCGAAAAATAGCATTTAAAGGGATACTCCACTTTTTTTGGAAACAGGCTCATTTAACAACTCCCCCAGAGTTAAACAGTTGAATTTCACCATTTTCGAATCCATTCAGCCGATTTTCTGATATTTAGAAGAATATCAGTTACCAGACAGTTTCTGGTCCCATTGACTTCCATAGTAGGAATAAAATATACTATGGAAGTCAATGAGACCAGAAACTGTCTGGTAACTGATATTCTTCTAAATATCAGAAAATCGGCTGAATGGATTCAAAAATGGTGAAATTCAACTGTTTAACTCTGGGGGAGTTGTAAAATGAGCCTATTTGCAAAAAAGTGGGGTATCCCTTTAAGGATGAACAATTATGTCCAGAGAAAATCAATTAACAATGGATATATTTGCAAATTGTAAATAATTACTAATGAGACAAGATAGACTTTAATCCAGACTAAAAAACATGATCAGTATTCATCAGCGATGTGCACACTCATCCTATTCACAGTGTACTGCAGGATCTGTATGTGGAAAAATACAGATGACCCATAATGACCCAAAAGTTTCCAGTGTGTCAGCATTCCTTGTGTCTGCTTTGTTAAAAAGGGCCAGAGCTCATTATCTTAAAATAAAAAATCATTTTAATAAATGACGGATCAGGGTAAGTCATGTTATACCTCTTAAATTATATGCATTTATTTTTGCCTTTACATCCTTAAATATATAAACTCTGGCATTCCTTTTGATTTGTGGGTCAAACTAAATCAGTCCTGTGAATCATCACGATTCTTACACATTGATCAATGTGGAGGGACAGATCTGGAGACCTTCACCGACAGTAGACATCCCATAATTCCATTAGATCATGAAGGGAAATCAGTTCAACTCTTCATTGCAAGTACTCTCAGCATGAATCACACATTTGTGCACTTGCTATGACGTACAAACTGCCACCTGTCCTGGGACCTATACGTATAGGTATAGGTAAATGAGAACTGACAAATGCAATCTTTCACTGCAGTCCTTCCACAGCACAGCCCATAGGATTCATCAGTTCCAGGCACCTCCCTAAACCATCATTAGCGAATACGTTAGTGTGTGTCCTCATTTATTTGAATGAAGCATCAATTAGCAGATGATTAGCGGGAGGCAGAAGGATGCTGGAAGCTTCCGCCAGGTCCCACAGGTGCCGAATAAAAAGCATTAGGGACGTAAATCCCTCGGTTTGCAGCCCACGCACACAGCTGGACAGTATCAATTCAGATATGAATGCCTATGAATGATGGGGTTAGTGCCAGTAACAGACAATCATCAACATAAAAATTGCACGTCTTCTGCAGCATCTCGTGAATGCCACAGCGTTTTAAACATGCAATACGTTAAAAGTTGTTCTTAAAAGTGTTTTACCGCAAAAAAAGAAAGGCATTTTTACATTCCACATACTCTGCTTTTCCATTGTCTCTTAGACCATTGCTTATCCAACCTGTCCTTGGGATACCCCACCACTGCACATTTTGTATGTCATCTAACACACCTAATTCAACTCATCAGCTCATTCGTAAAAGCCGCAACTTATTGCCTGCTACAGATGATTTCAGCAACCTTATAAGATCATTACGAATCACATTGTACAACATGGATGGACCTAATAAACTGGGTTACGACATATGCAGAATGTACGATGATGACACGTATTAAATCGTGGGCTATGACGCAAGATGGTATACAATAAAACATCATCAGCATGTGCTAATGGTAAACAAATAGAGCAAGATGAATCACACTTTGGCAATTGTGTTTTTTATGTGCGCTACGAGAAAGAGAATATGGATGCAGTCATGGCCAGTTTTGGGGTAACTCATTACAATTAACTTGACTTGCATAATCAATTACTTTTATCAAGTAACTAATAAAGTAACGCATTACTTTTAAACTTACAACAAAATATCTGTTAATTTTTCAAACAGCAGTAGAGCGGAAAGGCTTGTTTGTTTGAACTACACTTCCACTGTACAGGTGTGAATTTGCCTTTCCTTCAGCCTGATGCTTATCACTTTTGGTGTGAAAGGGCCTTTAAAGCTACACCGTGTAACTCTATTCTTAGCTAAAAACACTTAGGTCTTTCAAAAATATATGTGCTCATTAATGTATGTTTACTTCGTTCAAGTTATTAAGTATTGTAGTGAGTGTATAATATGCCATTGAAAATATATACGGGTAAGAGGTTCTAATGTCGGTCGCCATGTTGCCCCTCCATCTTGAAAGTACATTAGCCAAAGAGGGACATACCCGTTAATTCAAGCTTTGCCTTTAGCGTTTTCGTTTGAGTTAACACTCATGGACGAGGTCGAACTGGAAGCCATGTTAATCTTGGACTACATTGGCCACCGTAGGAGTTAAAACGAAATCGGAATTGAGAGGAACAGAAACTAATATTCACTGGATGGTCATATACCTTTTCACCGCTAGATGGGGGTAAAAATCACACAGTGTAGCTTTAAATATGCCAGAAATAGAACTTTTTTGTTGTTTTATAAGGCAGACAAAAAAAAAAAAAAAAAAAAAAAAAAACAGCCCAGCCCAGATGAGAAAAAGTAACGTAAAAGTAACTTAATGCATTACTTTCCATAAAAAGTAACTAAATAACGCAGTTACTTTTAGTGTAACGGAATATTGTAATGCATTACTTTTAAAAGTAACTTTTTCTAACACTAGTCATGGCTGAGGAAAAGAAGCTAATTTGACCTGACAATCTTTTAAATATCACATTGATAAATATGCCATTTCATGTTGCATTTTTATTAGTAGACGTTGGTCGTAGTAGCAAACACACTGTGAGATGATCATGCTAAATTTCTGACTCTGTCTAAACATTAAATCGCAGACTATCTTTGGTCACAAGACCGTGACAGCGGTCATCTTTGAACCTCTCACTGTACGATTTAAGGAGCCACGATCATAGAAATCAGCAGGATTCGTAATCTTTCATCTGGGACAGCCTGAAATTGTACAATGTGTACCAGGCATAAAATAGATGCGTCTAAGAGACAATCAAAATGTGGAGGGGCTTTCCATGTGAACCACCTTCATTTTACCAAAAAATGACCTGAGGCCATTTACAGAAAACATTTAAAAACGTGAGACGGAGGGTAGAACGTGCAAGACACTGGAAAAGATGCGAGCAGAAAGGCTAAACATGTCCATGGCATGTTTACACGTAAAACCAATAGAAAAGTGTAATACAAAAATGCGTTCTGTGTAAATGGACTTCATTTGGAGTTTAAAAATGAGTTAAAAGACTATGTAAGGTTTAGAGGTGCATTTTTAAAAGCTGAACCTCTTTTAACTAGACTGCTGCATTTCTAGAAGGCCATGTCCAATGTAAGTCGAAGCAGAACAGTCAAACATTTCGGTCTAGCATGTTTACATGACAAGAACAATGGAAAAGCAGCGCATTTGAATGCAAAACGTACTCTGATCTGTGTGAATAACCCAGGCCTTACGTTAGACAGGAGTGGGTTAAGTAAAGAATATAAGAGTAATTTCACCACCAAAAAAAAAACAAAACAAAATAATTCATTATTATAATAAAGCACATTAACTAATGGGCTGTTTCCTTCTATCTCTCTAGGATGACAAACAGACAAAAAATCATATCACTCCCTACATGACTTCTCTCTTCTGCATGACTTTTAGCTCCGAGTTTAACCAATGACTATAACACTGCTACTTCAGTTCTAAGTAGCACTAAGTAAAACACAAATTTTCTGGAAATAGGAGGAAGGGTGTGTGTGTGTGTGTGTATCATGCTCTTCCCACTCAGCCCAAGCACATCAGAGTTTCACGCTGCAATAACAGCACTCTGGTCCCAGCGAGGGCTCACATCTCACATAAAACGAGACTTAAACAAAGGCGACTGGGAATAACATTCCTAGGTCAAGTACATTGAAAAGGGATTTCTCTGCTATTTTGAGAACTTGAAAGCGATGAAATAACAACAGAATGCTTCAGTAAAAGGAAGGAAATTTATGCTCTTTTTTTGAGAGAAAATTATCCAGAAGCATTTCAGATTCTTCTGGAAATCTTGCGCTCACTTTACAAGTTCACTGAACAACTGTGCTGAACACTATGAGGAAGCCAACCAGAACCCTGGATTATCAAATCAACAGTACAAACATAATCTAAACAAAATACACAGATGAGGAGACACAAAAGCAGCCTCCGTTTCCCTCAGAGTCCTCGTGCCTTGACTAAATCACTTTGTGAGGATGAAGTGGGTTTGTTGTCATCCTCGACAACCACCTCTTTGGTCACCCCACATGTGTTCACAACAACTGCCGTTTTCTTTAAGTCCTCATATTTTTTAAGTCTATCAGCCATGGCTGTGCAAGCCTCAATCACTTCATTGCTTTCAAAATCATAATCGCTCTTTAGCTCTGGAGCTTCCACAAGGAGCCTTCGGGCTTCTTCTTCCTGTGTCGCCTTTTCACGGAGAGCTTGTTGCTTCTCCCGGAGCTGTAAGGCCCAGGCTAGGTCTTCCTCCCAGAGGAGGCGCTCAGACGGATGCAGGTGCAATGCCACTTGGAAGGACCGTACAGCCTGGAACACACATGGAACATGACACATACAAAGGTAAAACTACACGCAAAAGGCATAGATATTTATATACCGTGCCGTTGGTTTGTTTGTTTTTTACTGTTTCTGAAAAAAAAAAAAAACTCTTTTGCTCACCAAAGATACATTTATTTGATCAAAAATACAGTAAAAACAGTAATATTGTGAAATTAGTGGCCCTACCAGATGTCAGTGGGAGGAGTTAGTGTAAATAACCTCTGCCAACAAGACAGGCTATTTGCAAAATTCTCACCCTAAACCTTTGAACATTAGTGTGAATGATATAGATATGGGCGATACAGTATACCAAAATGGTATAATTCAATTTTTTTAATTTTTCAATGTAATAAACTTTAGATTTCAAAACAAGTTTAAATTAAAATAATTGCTATCATTTTTTTGCTGTATCATGTTTTTTGTGCTTTGTGACCCAAACAATTCCTATGTTTATCTACAACGTAAACGTTTGATATGACCAAAAGCTGCGACACACTGAATGTTACCTCAAAATTATAACATGCATAGACTCTGTACTGCACTCTAATGGTCACTTACACTCCAAAATGAACATGAACAGATGTTTATTCCACATTCAAATCGAAGTATTCATGACTTCACACTAGTCTCTAAAATAAACCTCTGCAGCTTACTGAACATGTACTAAAACAACTCCACTTACACAAAAAGCCATTTCCTCCCAAAAAGCCACTCCAGAAATAACGCAATAACGCAATAACACACTTCTGCATTCCACTTTCACACCTTTAATAAAAATAACTGTTTTGCAGTGCCATGTTTACTGTGATGCATTTACACGGCTTTGACCAGCGGAAGTCGCTAGGGTAGCACTTCCTTCTGCTCCACTGCTTTGCGCATGTGTAGAAGTGCAAGAAAATAAGTCATTATTACGAGAAAGTTTCTCATTATTATGAGATTGGTCATAATCTTTGTTTCTGCAGTTGTTTCAATTTTGATATTTTTAGGTCAAACCGTTCTTGTCTGTCAGTCATATAATGCAGGTCTATGGACACCACCTCAAAGAGGTAGCCTCAAAGAGGAGTAAATGTAAGTACACATTGATGGCCTAAGACACGAAATGAGCGGTTTGTGTGAGAAAACAAACAGTATTTATATTGTTTTTTCCTCTTGTAACCACAGCCACGTCCAAGTAATCTGAGGGGGCGGGCACTTTGTGGCTGTGGTTACAAGAGGTAAAAGCGATATAAATACTGTTCGTTTTCTCACACAAACTGCTCGTTTCGTGTCTTAGGCCATCAATGTGTGCTTACATTTATGAGTCAACAAAAAGACACTTACATCTTGGATACCCTTGGGATCAGCTAAAACACACTAAAATAAATTTCAAAGTGAACTATCCCTTTAAGTCACTATTACGAGAAAGTTTCTCATTATTACAAGATGTTAAGTCATTATTACAAAAAGGTTTCTCATTATTATGAGATGTTAAGTCATTATTACGAGAAAGTTTCTCATTATAATGAGAAACTAAGTCATAATTATGAGAAAGTTTCTCATTATTATGACTGAAAGAATTATATGTTTTACTCAACTGTGGCGGAAACGGGCTTCCATAGTTTTATTTAAACTGCAGGGAAACTGAAAAAGCAACAGATCAGTTCCTCCATATAGTGACGTACATCGAGTGAAACAAATTATAGAGAAAATCCAAAGTACATGACCAGAAAGCAAGTCTGCTGTTTCTCCATAAGATCATTATGACATTTTTTTATATTATTAAAAATGACGTAATGTAAAAAACAAAATTTAAAAAATGAAACGTGCATGGATCAATTACAATATTATCAATTAATACTGCAATGCATTTAGAAAATAGATAACTTTTGTTTATCTAGACAAACATCTTGTAGAATTCGGCACTGTTGAGTTTGATGTGCAAGTCACCCAGTACAATTAAATGAATAAATTCCATGACTTCATCACAACTGTTGAAATCATCTCTGTTAAATCAATCAGGACCCTAGAGGAGAAAAGGTCTCCCCAAGCCATCAGATGGCTTTATTCCTCATTAAAGGTTTTCTTTTTGACAAGGGCTGGATTCTTGGCTCTGGCTCACACTGGCTCTGATATTCTTCCTCTTTCAGGCAGATACGTGATCTAGTGTTTTTGTTGAAAGAGTTGATCGTTCCTTTGTAGATTTTTGAGTCAATGAGGCAATTATGAAGTTTAAACACCCCACTAAATCAAATTTATGAATTCATTATTTGCTTCATCTCCTGGGTAACATGAAAAGAGTGACTGATTCACAGCAGGAACTAGGCTTTAGACCCCATACAGAAGTAAATGAACATGTGTTATTGCAGTTCTCCATAGACTGAACGACCTCTTCAGCACTCAACCAGCTGTAATGCAGTTTGCACATAAAAAGCCATCTTCATAACAGAAATATTAGCTTTTTTGACAATCCTTTTAATATTGTGGATCCTGGATATCTGACGCATGCAGTTGTTTAGTGTGTGTAATAAAGAATATGATGATGTTGCATTCTTAATGGTTTGCAGTTGCTATTTTTTTGAATGCAACCATGGGTGATGTGATCTGTTATTTAAATTTATTTAGATAGGGACAGATACAAATAACATAGATAATCTTTGACAGTAATCTGACGCATGTATCATAATGTTTTTAGCTATAGCTAATTTATTATATGGATTAATGTACTTTTATGATGGATATATGCACTTTTATGATGGACAGATGCACTTTTATAATGGACAGATGCAATTTTATGGACTTCAAAACAGAAACGGCCATTCATTGTCATTATAAAGCTTGGAAGAGCCAGCATATTTTTTTATATAACTCTGATTTTAAGTATGGAAGCCCGTTTCTGCCACAGTTGAGTAAAAAAATATAATTCTGTAAGTCATAATAATGAGAAACTTTCTCATAATTAAGACTTAGTTTCACATTATATTGAGATAGTTTCACATAATAATTACTAGTATCTCACTATAATGAGAAACGTTCTTGTAATAATGACTGAACATCTCATAATAATGACTTAACAACTAATAATAATGACTTAACATCTCATAATAATGAGAAACTTTCTCGTAATGATGAGAAACTTTCTCGTAATAATGACTTATTTTCTTGCACTTCTACGCATGCGCAAAGCAGAAGGAAGCGCCACGCTAACGACTTCCGCTGGTCAAAGCCGTGTAAATGCATCACAGCAAACATGGCACGCTCTGCAAAACAGTTGATTTCATTAAAGTCAGTGTGATCTACGGAGTGCAATCTGTAGTATCATTAAATAACATTAATTTAAAAAAAATAATAATAATAAAAATGTCCATGGGCACGAAAAGGTGTGAGTGGAATGCAGAAGCAGGACGGTTACCATGGTAACGAAGGACACCTGCTTGTGCACACCAATAGAAATTGTGTTACATTAAATTAAAAAACTATCAGATTAAAGTTGGAATATTGCATTTATTCATTATGTTTAAGCGTAACATCTTCATAAAATATATGGGTATTTGTGTTAATATAACCTGTATTTTGCAGTAGCGTCTCAGATATTTGATGTGCAGGTGGAAGATTTCAGAAAATCACCTTTAAGATGTTTATGACTGGAGACATTTACACACAAGTGGGCAGTGGAATGGGGGAAAACGCAAGGTCTTGTGACGTGTTTTCAAACGCTGAACTCCCTTTTAATTGAGCTCCGCCTTTTTAATACGCTGTGTCATGCATGATACGATATTGTTGTTACAGGAAAGAAAAACAATTGACACTTAAATCACCATCCTCTTAATTTCTCACTCAAACAAACTTTACAGAACTTTCCATTGGACTGAACTGCAGATTTCCAGGAACATCATTATTAAATGTGGTAAAACTGATTGGATATTAATCTTGTGTTGGCTGGAATGATTTTTTTTTCTTTCTATTATGCAATAACGAGATTAAAAACAGCAGATAATAGGAATCAGAATCAAGGAAAATGCTAATCATTTAAAAGTGATTTCACTTTTTCACCCAAAGATAAGCCAAGATAAGCACAAACTAAGACATAGCTTTACAGTAACCTATGTTTCTCCATTCATTTGCGCGTCAACACACAACGGCTGCAACTACAGTGTGGTCTTAGCAGTGGACAAGCACGACAACCATCTGGTTTGAGCCGAGTAGGGGACATCTCTAGGGTCTTTAAGTGGACACCTTCCATCCTCAGTGTTTCGTCAACTAGCCCACGACACCTCAAGAGGGCTCTGGCGTCCTAGAGTCACCCCCCTCCGTCCCCCACTCAACTCAGCCCAGCTTACTGACATATACATCCCTCCTGCTGCTGAGGTTGCTACTTCCTCATAAGTTCACATGTGACCTAACCACAATCGCACAATCTTGAGCAACTCAACCATACGCGCCAACCCGTTTGACTAAGGCTGTCGAGCCCCACTGTCTTCGATAAAGTAAATGCAGATGCTTTTACTGATGTCTTACATTTTTATTTAAGAATAGGACTCGGACAGTTAAAAAAAATATTGAAGTGTATGTGTAATGAATTAAAGATTTGTGGGGAAGAACATACTTATTTCCTTTGAGAATGTTGTGCAATGGCAGCAAAGTTCTCCATTGTAAATTTCTATAAAATTCCACTTAAAGCTGTCCAAACAGACAGGAGAGATGTACATAAGAAAAATAATAAAAGCAAAACCTTGTCTAACAATATGTCAGTGAGGTTTTAGGAGGGTTTTAACGAAGAGTCAATTATTAAAGCAGCATTCCTAAGAAAATCTGTTGATCATGATCAAAAAAAAAAAAAAAAAAAATCACCAAACATAAACATTAGTCATCCTCAGGTTATTTTTCTCTTTGGTTATTGACTTGACAAGGCATGCTCAGCCCAAAGTAGTAAAATATTTCTCCAAACTCTAGCCAACATGTCAAGCTAAGTGTGTGTGATAAGTGTTTAGATTAAACACACACGGACACACACTAGTGGGTACTAGCCAAAGAACTGTTGGTTCTGCAAGGTTTTCTTTCATTAAGCATTTGTGCCTAACGCACACAATCACATGCATGTCAGGACATGTAAGGTGTGGCAGTGTTCCTCTTCAAGAACTCTTTCATGCTCCTGGGCTTGGATGTACTGAACTACACACTTCATCGCAATGACGCTTGATCCGAGTGATGGATAAGTGGCAGAGGAACTCATGCACCACCTCCTTACTGACTGACAAAGATGCAGAACCTGATTTCACTGAGTGCAACATCTTTGTTGATCCTGGAAAAAACTATCCAGTTTTAAGGGACAAGTTTACAGTTTAGGCTTACAACCTTGGTTAGGTGATTCAGTGATATTCACCTATCCTTTCCCTCTGGTTTTAGGGATGACCTATGGGTAGGGTAAGGTTTAGGAGTAGAGATATAGTTAGGATAACATTTTCGGACAGGAATGTTGTTCCAGGTTCAACAAAATATGTTGACCCTGGAACGCATCTAACATGCAACAAAGACACCGATGCCACAACACGACTGGAAGACTATAGATTGTTCGGTTTACAATGAAAAATGCTGAATAAACTGATTGTGTGGAAAAAGTTAATCCCCCTAAAAAAATTGATTGACTCTCAAGGTTGGCTGTATGGGCTACTTAAAACTTTACTTTGGAAAAGTTTAAAGGATAGGGGAAGTTTAAAGGAAGTACTGATGGGCTAAGTTTCATCCCCAATTTTGGAGGATTAAATTTGTATTTACAGTCATTCAACATTACAGTATAACTGAAAGCCATTTTTTTTAAACATTGAATAGGCCTAAAACATATAACAACTTTAATTTTTAAGTGAACTTGTGTGTTGTATATACTATAGTGTATATAATAATACAGTGATGTTTCCATCTCTGTCAATTTCAGCTCTCTCTTTTTACTGTATATTTGCACAATCATTTTTTTAGTTAAAAGGGACCTATTAAGCAAAATTCACTTTTACATGGTGTTTGGACATAAATGTGTGTTGGCAGTGTGTGTACACAACCACCGTACACTGATCCCATAAATCATAAGCAGTGTCTCCCAACGAACTGTTTTCAGAATGCGGCTTTTAGTGACGTCACTGAAGCCACAGTGACGAGAATGTCTCCCAATTGTGTCTCCTGTATTAATCCACATAGCTCTATTTACTAAAAAGTTACTCCTGAAGGATGTAGCAATGTCAAAGTTTATGATCCAGATACACATCTAGAAGCAAGTATTACGCGTTTGTTTTCCAAATTGCCTTTGAATTTGTCAACCATATCATAACATTTTAGACTCATTTTAGACATTTTACTTTGTGATATCATCATGAGTCCGCCCAGCTATGTTGTTATTTTTTATCGTGCTGATAGTGGAGAAGTCAGAAGAGAGCAGCACATCAGAAGAGAGTGCTTGTCAGACAGACGCAATAAGTTTGTAAAACTCACATACAGACTTGAAGGACTACCAATAGCATTGATAATAAAAAAAATAAACAATGATAAATTAAGAGATTCAATGTTTCGGCTCAACAGCACAATTATATAATCTTATTTGTAGCATTATTTTTTTTTTCTTCATTTCATCATGCAAATCATTTTCCACAGCCCACCTGACAACCTAGCGTAACGGCACAGTGGTTGGGGAACACTGGACTAGATAACTGACTATGATGTAGCTCATACTTACTAGCTCCACTTCGCCAAGACTTATTTGGGCACGGCCCAGAGTTTGCCACGCCTCCCACCACAGGGGACGCAGTTTGGTGGCCATCTCTGCAGACTGCACAGCTTGGAACACCTCTTGAAGGGTGATCAACACCTAAGGATTACACATTAAAAGGTTACAGACTCACCTCTTTGAACATTCTCAGCACAATTTTTTTCATATTACACTTACCAACTTTATAAATGGTTACAAAAAACAAACAAACTGGGCATCATAAACCAAATGACTGAGGATCACACATTACAGACACAAAAATTCACACAAAACACGAGCCTCGCTGCTAGGAGACACATGACAGATGAAACTATATGTGTTCTAAAATAGACTTAAATATCAAACATGTTTGTCTGAAGCAAAAACAAAAGGGGGGACCAAGACTGTGCCTCTCATACACTAGTTGATTTTCAGTGAAATCTGTCTCTGACTGCTCAAATTATTTAAACTGGCTCTGATTTTCAGCAACTAGCATCAGCTCCTCCGGACTGCAAAACGGGGCAAAAATATCTGATTTATGCAACTTACAACAGCTATTGTAGAACATTGTTAGCAACTTAAGCATACAATAATTTATACTGTATATGAAAAATATGCATCCAAAACTAATGAATAAAAAGCACTTAAGAGAATTTGAGAACGTAACTGAATTATACTTCAAGTTTGGTATAGTTCTGATGTAATTTACATTTTATTTTAAACATCAATAAAGAGTGTTGCTAAACATCCACTTGGGTCATAAGAGAGAGACTATATAAATGACAACGAGAAGCAAACACTGCACTACGTGGTAACACAGGATGTTCTTGCATCAAGATGTTTCCATTGTGGAGTTTTATTTACTTAAAGCCTTTAAATTCAGGTCAGACCAATAATCAAAGTAAATACCAGCTTTATACAACGAAGGGTGTTGCCAGGGTAAGAGCAGTTAAAGGACAAAACTGAGCTGTAATCTTAGTTTCCAGCAGGTTTGGTTCTAAATGTGCAGGCAGGCTGAAAGACGTTAGATTTACATGTTGAGGTAAGCATCACCAGGTGTGCAATAAGCAGATGCTGGCAACATTTGGGAGAGAAGAGAGGACAAATTGAGAGGGGAAATTCAAAAGTAAACTTTACGCAAACTCTTGGCAAACATTGCTTGTAGATTGATCAGGGCACAATCAGAGCCAACCAGCTGCTCCATTGTGATCAGATTACTAATTTGTGTGTGTGTGTGCGCGCACGTGTGTGTTGGTGTGTGTGTGTGTGTGTGTGTGTGAGAGAGAGATAAAGAGAGAGAGACAGACACACACACCTTCTCATTCTTTTCAGGTGACTCCCCGTTTACATGATCATGAGATCAGTCAGGAAAAGGTCACTACTTTGGTTTACAAGAAACGGGAAAATAAGGACAGCCATGTGACCAGCACTGAAACAAAACCCTGAACTATGCTGCACTCAAGTGCTTCTGGGAAGTCATAATGCCATGATGTGCGTTCAAGTGATTTTAGGACAGAAAGTAAATAAGAAAAAGAAAGAAAACCAAATAATGTACATTAGGTGTTCAGTGGCAAACAAAAAGTGTAAACCTCAACATTCACAATGATGTGTTATGTTCAATAGCAATTTAAAAGAAAATCCAGCGTTTTTGACTGGTAACTATGACATTACGCTGTCGTTCATGGGTGCTTATAAAATTCATAAATTCAATCATTCGGACATGACTTAATGCACCAATACTATCTGGCCTATAGTGAAGCTTCACTGACTGCCATCCATTACCAACAAGGAAAGCAAGGCT